CTTTATCCATCTAACATCTGTTGACCAGTGATGCTTGTAACTGAGGCCATGCTTCATTCCCCGCTACCTCCAAACATAGAGAACCATCATAAGAAAACAAAAGCATGATTTCATGGATAAAATAACTTGGCTATCTTGGAAACAACTGGTGTTTATTTGTTTATTTTAAATAATCTTATTCCTGATTTAGAGGGCCTACTGTAGTGCGACTTAGTGTGCTAAGCAATGCAGTTCCAGCCATGGAATTAAACAGAATTTATTCATCCTGGCTTGCTGCATTGACCTTCTCCTCCTCCTTCTCCCCCCCCCAAACTTTTTCAGCTAGAATCCAATTGGTGATTTGTACATGTTTATATGAAATAGTATAGAATGCAGCAGCAAATTACTTCTAGCTAACTAAGTGCTGATTGCATTCCTGGTTGCATACCTAGGAACGCAACCAGCACCTCAATCATTAACATAATTTTGCCATTCCAACTTACATGTGCATAAATCTCCAGCAGATTCCAGCCTTTATCTTTAGGTTGGAAGCCTATAGGCAGGAGCTATGTTTAATTTCTAACTCCTTTCTAGGTGCTTTTGTATACAGCACCTAGGTGTTGTTGTTGTTTAGTCATTAAGTCGTGTCCGACTTTTCATAACCCCATGGACCAGAGCATGGCAGCCCCTCCTGTCTTCCACTGCCTTCCGGAGTTTGGTCAAATTCATGTTGGTAGCTTCGATGACACTGTCCAACCATCTCGTCCTCTGCCGTCCCCTTCTCCTGTTGCCTTCACACTTTTCCAACATCAGGGTCTTTTCTAGGAAATCTTCTCATGAGATGGCCAAAGTATTAGAGCCTCAGCTTCAGGATCTGTCCTTCCAGTGAGCACTCAAGGTTGACTTCCTTCAGAATGGATAGGTTTGATCTCCTTGCAGTCCAGGGGACTCTCAGGAGTCTCCTCCAGCACCACAATTCAAAAGCATCTATTCTTCAGTGGTCAGCTTTCTTTATTGTCCAGCTCTCACTTCCATACATCGCTACTGGACAAACCATAGCTTTGACTATGCGGACCTTTGTCACCAAGATGATGTCTCTGCTTTTTAAGCTGCTCTCTAGGTTTGTCATCTCTTTCCTCCCAAGAAGCAGGCGTCTTTTAATTTCATGGCTGCTGTCACCATCTGCAGTGATCATGGAGCCCAAGAAAGTAAAATCTCACTGCCTCCATATCTTCCCCTTCTATTTGCCAGGAGGTGATGGGACCCGTGGCCATGATCTTAGTTTTTTTGATGTTGAGCTTCAGACCATTTTTGGCATTCTCTTTCACCTTTATTAAGAGGTTCTTTAATACTTCCTCACTTTCTGCCATCAGAGTGGTATCATCTACATATCTTTTGTTGCTATTTCTTCCAGCAATCTTAATTCTGCCTTGGGATTCCTCCAGTCCAGCCTTCCGCATGATGTATTCTGCATATAAGTTAAATAAGCATGGGGACAATATACAGCCTTGTCGTACTCCTTTCCCAATTTTGAACCAATCAGTTGTTCCATATCCAGTTCTAACTGTTGCTTCCTGTCCCACATATCGATTTCTCAGGAGATAGATAAGGTGGTCAACCGCTCCCATTTCTTTAAGGACTTGCCATAGTTTGCTGTGGTCCACACAGTCAAAGGCTTTTGTGTAGTCAGTGAAGCAGAAGTAGATATTTTTCTGGAACTCTCTGGCTTTCTCCATAATCCAGCACATGTTAGCAATTTGGTCTCTAGTTCTCTAGTTTCCCTTTGAAATCCAGCTTGTACTTCAGCACCTAGTAAATCTGGGCAATTTATTATTAAACAGTCACAACTGTATTTACATGCACTATAACAACTTTAATATTTAAATTAAACCATAATACACATTAAGAAATGAAGGGAGGAAGTCATTCTTGTAAACATTATCAAAGAGACTGTGAAGTGACTTGTAGGAATCATGGAAAACTGAGATTTGAAAAAGCAAATGAATTACTGTAAATATGTTGTAGCTAGCTTCTTGCAGGCAGGACAGGTGTGAGTGAAAACATACATAGAATTTATTGAACTGACTCCAGAAATTGCACTAATTATTTTTCTTATCCTAATAGTTTGGGTTGGGAAATGTATCTGCAAAATCATTTTGATTTCCTTGCATTCTTCATGTGCATTGTTTTGATTTTACTGGAAGCAACTTGGAATGTGATATAAGTAATAAATAATAAGAAATATTGTTGTCAGCTGCTACAATGTATCTGTACAAGACTGGTCTTGTATTTGTTTTCCTTATGCTCTTTCCGAACAAAGACTGTGTACACATTTCCCAGTATCTTCCTTCTCCCAACTGTCTCAGTGATGGTTTATTCGTAGATCTCACTCAGCTGTGTACAAATATGTCCATTTGCTGTTCTAAATTTTAGACATTCATCCTGGCTTGTATCAATCATGGCCCCAAGGTGAAAGGTAACAATTTTTCTATAAATGGCACTCCTTTCTCTTGATCCTGTGTTAATGCAATTTCTGAGGCCAACTAAAGTTTTCTCTTGACATTAGAGAGAGATGGTGAGAGAAAAATGTGAATATATTTGAAATATTTCTTGCAATTTTCACTTCTGCTGGGTGTGGTTTTAGCAGCATAGAACCAGTTAACTCATAAAGATGCTAAATACTTTCACAAAGTGAAATATTTCCTTTGCAGCTGTAATAAAAGAGGTGCAGAGAGGAAGTGAATTCATACAACTTTTTTGTTTGTGGCAAGTGAGTTACGTTTCCTTTTTACAGTTCACTACAAACTCGGGTTTGTAGTGAAAAGATTTTATCAGAAGTTTATTGTAGCCAAACTGCTCAATCTTTGTAAAATAGATAACACAGTGGTGTACAGAAGTCAGATCTACATGAGGAATAGCTTCTCCTTAAACCTGTTCACCCCATATCTTGAAAAGATGCAGTCTCTAATTTCACTCGCTAAAATGTGGGTTATGTAAATTCATAAATGTGACGTAGATACTGTCTCAGGCATCAGGTACAGCTGAAATTACAGCTCTTATCTTACAGATCTTGGGCAACATTTATTTGGGACTCTGCATTACAGCACTCAATCGGGAAATTTGCCCTGAATCCCATTCAGAACCCCAGTTTGTTAGCTCAGGTACTTTGCCCCTCTAGATGTTTTAAACTACATAAGAACATAAGAGTCCTGCTGCAATAGGCCAAGGGCGCATTTAGTTCAGCTTCCTGTATCTCACAGTGGCTCCACCAGATGCCTCTGGGAGCGCACGAGACAACTAGATACCTGTCTCCTGATCCCCTTTCCCTGCATCTGGCATTTTGAGGTTTCTTTTAAGCCTGGAGATTATACATCCTCATCATGACTTGTAACCGGTGATGGACTTTCTAGGAATCTGTCCAATCCCCTTTTAAAGGCATCTAGACCAGATACCATCACCACATCCTGTAGCAACGAGTTCCACAGATGAACAACATGTTGGGTAAATAAATATTTTCTTTTGTCTGTTCTCATTCTCCCAACACTCAATTTGAGTGGATGTTCCCTGGTTCTAGTATGGCATGAGAGGGAAAAGAGCTTCCTTCTATCCACTTTATCTATTCCCCCCACCTGCATAATTTTATACGTCTCAATCATGTCCCCCCTCAGACACCTCTTCTGAAGAGCCCCAAAGAGCCTTTTCTCATAACGGAGGTGCCTCAACCTAGTAAACATTTTAGCCACTCTCTTCTGCAACTTTTCCAGTTCCACAATGTTGTTTTTTTAGGTGCAGCGACCAGAACTGTATGCAATGCTTCAGGTGTGGCCCTACCAGCGTTTTGTACAATGGCATTATAATGTTGGCTGTTTTATTTTCAATCCTTTTTTTGAGGATACCTAGCATGGAATTGGCCTTCTTCACTGCCACCACACACTGGGTTGACACTTTCATCGAGATCTCTATCCTGATCTGTCAAGAACAGCTCAGAACCCATTAGCTGATAACTAAAGTTTTGATTTTTTTTTTAAATTGCCCCAATGTGAAACACATTTCCCAGTTTGCTGCCCATTCTCCCAATTTGGAGAAATCCTTCTGGAGCTCTTCATAATCTCTTCTGGTCTTCACCACCCGGAAAAGTTTTGTGCAGTCTGCAAACTTGGCCACCTCACTGCTTATCCTTGTCTGCAGGTCCTTTATGAACAGGTTGAAAGGCACAGTTCCCAGGACAGATCCCTGGGGCACACCACTCTTCACCTTTCTCCATTTTGAAAATTGCCCATTGACACCTATTCTCTGTTTCCTGGTTCTCAACCAATTCTCAGTCCATAAGAGAACCTGCCCTCTTATCCCCTGACTGTGGAGTTTTCTCAGCAGCCTTTGGTGAGGGACTGTGTCAAACATCTTCTGAAAGACAATATCTACTAGTTTGCCCACATCCACATGCCTGTTGATCTTTTCAAAGAATTCTAAACAGTTTGTGAGGCAAGACTTACCCCTACAGAAGTCATGCTGATTTCTCCTCAGCAAGGCTTGTTCTTCTATGTGTTTTAAGATTTTATCTTGGATGAGGCTTTCCACCATCTTCCCTGGAAGAGATGTTGGCTAACCAGCCTGTAGTTTCCCAGGTTCCCCCTCCTTCCCTTTTAAAAGATTGGTTTATCGGGTCCTCCCTCCTTCCCTACAGTTCTCATCATTTGTTACCATTGGCGGACACTAACAGAACAGTACAGAGTTCCAATTCCTTGCTAAAGAGCTTTCACCTGATGGTTCCCTCAGAAAGTTATTCAACTGATCAGTAATAGACCTTGGAGGGAATCTGGATCATAAGTTACTTCCATTGTTGTTGTTATTGTTGATGTTGTTGTTTTATGACATCAAGTGGCCCTCAATCCTGTGACTTCCCTAGCTGATAGTAATTTCTAGGATTTATGAGGCAGGAGTTTGCTGTCTGTATATCCCTTGGAACAGAGTTCTGTTGTGCTCCTGACTTTAATAGTCTTCTTCCCAAATTGTCTTGACAGAAAAAAGTGTGCCTTCTCTCGGGATTGTGGTAGACACTGCAAAAACAACTGAAAGCTCAAGGATTCCAGCCTGGATTACCACAGCAAAACAAAAGCAAAAGGTCATGGAACAGGAGCTTAGCAAAGAAGAGAAGTCAGTGGCTCAGGATAAGACAGAAATTACAGAAAAACAAATTACAAAGAAGTTACAAATTGAGGTAAAGCTATTCTTCTCTTCATGAAGGGGGGAGGGACACACAAGCTCAGAAGTAAAGGTACCTGAAAGCTAATGTATGAAAAGAGGAACAGACTGAGCACATCTAAGGGGGCCTAATCCTAATTTAGGAGAGTAAATATTACTTGATAGGGATGATTGCTATGACAGAAATACAGCTATTGAAGGATATAAATTGATCAGAAAGAACTGAAATAAAGAAAAGAGAGGTGGAGTAGCAGTATATGTTAAAATACATATTCCTGCATAGAAATACAGGAGGATGATCTTGGTTGTCCCATTCACTTGAATTAATATAATTGGGGCAAAAAACAAAAGGATCATGGTAGTTGGAGTCTACTGCTGACCACCCAATCAGGAAGAAGATGCAGATGAAACCTGTGAAAAACTAATTGTAAGAATTTCAAGGAAACACAGTGTAGTAGTAATGGGATACTTCAGTTATTCTGATATATGCTTGGGAAACAAATTCTGCCAAATATGGACCATTCAAGAAATTTCTGGGTTGTGTGGCTAATAATTTTCTTCTACAAAAAGTGGAGCTACCCTGGACTTGATCCTAACCAGTAGAGATGACTTGGTGGAAGTTGTAGCAGCAAGAGGAACCCTGGAGGAAGGTGAACATGTTCTGCTTGAGTTTTGATTTAAAAAGAAACATAAGCAGATTGTAGCTGCACACATACACTGGACTTTAGGAAAGCCAATTTTAATGAACTCAGTGATAGATTAAGATCCCATGGCAGGAAATCCTGACAGGAAAAGGAGTCCAAGATGGGTGGGAGTTTCTTAAAAAGAAAATTGTAAAGGCACAACTACAAACAAGTCCAACAAGAAAAAAAAGGTGGAAGACAGAAAGAAAGAAAAATTAACATGGCTTCACAAAAAAAGTGGAAGGAAGGCCTGGCTACAAAGGAAGAGTACAGACAAATGGCAAAGAACTGCAGGAATGGTGATAGGAAGGCAAAAGCTGAGAATGAGATGAAGTCAGCAAGAGATGCTAAAAGCAACAAAAAAGCATGCTTTAGGTGTATGTGTAACAAAAGACAGAAAAGAAACATTGGCTCAGTGGGGATGGGAAACTGGTAACATATGACAAAGAAAAGGCAGGAGTACTCAATTTCTACTTCAGCTCAGTCTTCTCCCAAAAGACATTATGTTCCTCCAGGCAAATGTGGATGGGAATAGGATAGCAAAATCGGGTGCAATAGCTATTTCCTTGGGAGACAGGAACAAAATTCAAAAATGTCTTGATAGGCTTAAACATTGGACTGAAAACAACAGAATGAGTTGTGCAAAGTTCTGCACCTGGGGGGAAAACAAACAGTTACAAGATGGGAGATACTTGACTCAGTTATCCTATAAATGAGAAGGATCTTGGAATTGTTGTAGATCGCAAGCTGAATATGAGCAAAAAGAATAAATATTATTTTAGGCTGCATTAACAGATGTATAGTCTTCAGTCCTCCTCTATCAGGCACTGATTAGGCCGCAACTAGAGTACTACATCCAGTTCTGGACACCACACTTTTAGGGATGCTAACAAACGAGCAGGTTCAGAGGAGGGCAACAAGGATGATCAGGGGACTGGAAACCAAGCCCTACGAGGAAAGACTGAAAGAACTGGGCATGTTTAGCCTTGAGAAAATAAGACTGAGGGGAGATATGGTAGCACTTTTCAAATACAGTACTTGAAATGTAGTCATACAGAGGAGGGGCAGGAACTGGTCTCAATAATTCAAGAGTGCAGGACATAAAATAATAGCTGAAGCTACAGGAAGTCAGATTTAGGCTGCATATCAAGAAAAACTTCTTAACTGTTTGAGTAGTACAACAGTGGAACTAATTACCTCAAGAGGTGGTGAGCGCTCCAGTGCTGGAGGCATTCAAGAGAAAATTGGACAACCATCTGTCAGATCTGCTTTGATTTAGATTCCTGCATTGAGCAGGAGGTTGGACTCAGAGGCCTTATAGGCTCCTTATGCTATGATTCTGTGATTTGTCTGAGACATTGAAATGGCAATCTTGGCTTCAGCCATCTGTGACTGACTCTCTAGAATATCCTCTAATCAATCACACATTGTAAAACTGTCCTGTTTCTGTGAATGCAGCCATTATTGACAGGCATGCAGCACCCGAGAAGCAATTATTATTTATTAACTTTTAATCTTACTGTTAGTGCCAAGAGTTGAAGACAGCATACACAATCTTTTTGTCACTATATACTAAATGCCAGCCAAGGTTAATCAAAGACATTAATCAATCCCCCAATACGTTTTCATGGCTAGCTGCAATTTGAATTGGTCTCCATGAGTCAATTTCCTTAAAGATTAACATAATCACATAATAACTGTGCTATTTGCAAGTGTAGGAAGTCAAAACACTCATCTCAGTGTCAGTTTTGAAAGAGTCTTAAAGTCCAGCTAATGGATAGGCTCTGCATGCTTAATTGCAGGAACAAGTGCTTTTCCATCTGAAAGTCTGTTGTAATCGTTCAGTGGAGAGAACAGAAGCCAAAGCAAGCATTATAAACATTCTGTGTTGTACTCTGAAAATGCTGAGGGGGATTTTTATGATTTTTTAAAAATTCTGGACAAAAAAATTCCCCGTGAAAAAAAAATGTTATATATACCATATAATCATAAATCTTGTTTAAAACTTATGGTAGAAGGAGACCATTGGCTTCCAGAACTATAGATAATGTAATTTTATAAAATTTTCATTATATAAAGACATGGGTTGAAATACAGACAGCATCTCTGTTTGATGTTATTGCCAGCACTAAAATCCAAGTTGATAACATAATGAACACTGCCACAACATGAAATGGTAGTGGTCACTTTTTAAAAAAACAAATCAAAACACTCTTGTATTCCATCGAATTGTCCTGATGTAAAGCCCTTTTTCTGCACTCCATTGTTATATTGAATGATGCAGTCTTAAAATTAGGAGAAAACACACACATGTGGCCTTTGTTGTATGTGCCCCAAATTGCTTTTGGATTAGATCCAAGTCCACAGTTAGCATAGACCTGACTAGTAATTTGTACAAAAGACAAAATCCATTTTACTGTATTGTGTAGTATTTCCAAAAGCTAACATTTACTGTACTTAAAACCTCCCATTTTTAGTTTCCAGAATGTCCTCCTCTAAGTTGGTCAATGCCAATTTGATTATACACGAAGCCAGCTCTTCAGGGTCCTGTATGCATGCAAGCCGAAATCAACAGGAAAATGTTAATGCTTTCAGCTACTGCATTCTTTATCTTTTCACCAATAAGAGAAATAAGTATGCCTTCCAAGCAATGACGTAGTCTTATGCTGTGAGTAAAACTACCTTAGGGTGATGCAGAAAATATCTGGATGAGGAGGGTTAAGCAACCATTCTTTCCCTCTCCCTCTTCCTCTGCTCACAATTGTAGCCCCCTGAGATTGCCTTTGGCTGAAAACAAGGTTGAGGCAAAGAAAAATGCAACTGCCTGTCATTCATTGCTAGGAAGAATCCACAGTTCCCTCTTGTCTATCAGAAGCTATTTACTACCAAGCTTGGTTTGTGCTTGTCCTCATTAGCAAAAAAGGGAGCAGAAGGCCTTGAATAATTTGCCGTGGCAACCCATTTTCAAGTGCTCCTACTTGCATCTTTCAAACCTCTCCCAAACAGTTTTATAGTCTTTAAGAGTCCATAGGACATTAAATCTTTATGCAGTGGTTACAGTTCAGGTGACATAAGTAGGGCAAGCAAGTGTGACATATGACAAGAATTACCATTGTTGAGAGGGAAGGCCATGTCAGTGACAGAGTTCCATGTGTTCTGTTAAATCCCTGTTGTTCTTGTTCCAGCTGAATTATTTAGAATAGCACTATCCTTTTTTTCTCTCCCCCCCCCCTTCTGCTCCCTTTTTTATTTAGGAAGCAGTGAAACAACAGACAGATTTCACCCGGAGCACATTCTCCTCTTTCCCACCAAAAGTTTCTTTTGAAGAACAGAAGAAAGAGACAAAGTTGGATACGCAAGAATCTTTGCCCAGAGCCAGCTTGCTGTCACATCATAATCTCGGTATGAAAACAAACACTCAAAATACTGATAGAGATCCAGGCTGTACACTCCCTTAATTGCACAAACAATGCTTCCCGTTTTTATTAAGCATTAGAGAGTTGGGCATTTATGCAGTTTTCATCAGAAGAAGGCTACATGTTTTGAGTCAGGGTGTGATCTGATGGCTGCAGAAGCACATGCCTGACTTCACTGGGAAGTGTCACTTTGAATGGGAGTGATTTCCCTTCAAGCGACCCTTCCATCTGGCACGGAATCGCTCTAGGCTGGCCCCCAGAAGTAGAAGGTCTGCAGCTGGAACAAAAAGGTCCAGCTTGATCATGGATTGGGGTTGGGCTGGAGCGCATTTCTTGGTGAGTTTGTGTGATCACAGGTGCACTAGATTGCACCAGCCTTCTTCACAAGTGGTCCAGATTTCAATCTGTTTCCCCATGTGATCACACCTTCAGGCTCAAATATGCCATTTGCACAACCAGGGACTGTTTCCTGTATTTAACTTTTTCAACCATGCACCTAAAATTATAATATTTATGATGAACATCTTTGTAAATGTGTGAATTGCATAGGGACACTGAAAGAGCCAAGATGGGCAATGTTTCCAAGACGTACATAGTGAGGGCCAGGAGAATCCAAGGTCCACATCCAACATGAAACAACTTCAAGAGTGCCAACTTTATATTTTCTATTAGTACAAACAATACAGTGATTAACAATACATCAGACGCCCCCCAGTTAGCATTGGACAACCTTAACAATTTATGTCCAATCGCTAACATGCCATTCCTGGGCAAGGTGATTGAGAGGGTGGGGGCCAATCAGCTGCAGTCATACCTGGAGGAGCAGGATTGCCTTGACCCATTCCAGTCTGGATTCAAGCCGCGATGGGGTACTGAGACAACATTGGTCGCACTGCAGGATGACATTTTAAGGGAAGCTGATGGGCAGGGGCACCCTGTTGGTACTCCTAGATCTCTCAGTGGCTTTTGATACCGTTGACCACAGTATCCTCCTGGGCAGGCTCTCTGGGGTTGGGATTGAGGGCTTAGCTTCGAGCTGGCTCCAATTCTTCCTCAAGGACCATGTCCAGAGAGTTCCACTAGGGATTGAGGTGTCGGCACCTTGGACCCTTCGGTGTAGGGTTCCTCAGGGATCGGCATTATTTCCAATGCTGTTTAATTTCTATGTTAAGCTGTTGGGGGAGCTCATCAGGAGTTTTGGAGTTAAGTGCTATCTCTCCGTTGCCACCTTTGCAGTGGATGCCATCCAGATGTTAGAGCGTTGTCTGGTTGCAGTACTGGAATGGACCAGGGCTAACAGGCTCAAACTGAACCCGGACAAAACAGAGATTTTGCTCCGGGGAAAGGACCTCCAATGGGTTGGGGGGATGCTCCCTTGGCTGGATGGTACTCCCCTCCGATTTAGAGACCAAGTGCATAATTTTGCTATTCTTCTGGACCCGGCTCTCTCTTGGGAGTCCCAGATTGCAGCTGTGTCCAGATCAGCCTTCAACCAGCTTAGGCTAATTGCCCAACTTCACCCCTACCTAGATGAGGACTCCCTCAGGAGTTTGGTGCAGGCCTTGTCCATTTCCCACATCGACTACTGCAGTGCCCTCTACCTGGGGCTCCCTTGGACCTGATCCTGAGACTTCAATGTGGCAGCCAGACTGGTGGTTGGTGGAAATAAATTTGACCACATCATTCAGGTTCTGGCTCACCTCCACCGGTTGCCCATGGCATCCCAAATCAGGTTCAAGGTTTTGACACGTACAAAGCCCTCCATGGTTTGGGCCCATGTTACTTGTCAGAGTGTCTCTCCTTAATGTCATCTGCCTGACCCACAAGGTCATCCCAGTCAAGGCTGCTCCAGGTGGCCACCCCAAGGGAGGCCCATAAATCCTGTACAAGAGGTAGGGTCTTCTTTGCAGTGGCTCCAACTTTATGGAACCAGCTTCTGGAGGAGCTCGCACTAGCCCCCTCCCTATGGACTTGTAGGAAGCATTGCTTTTCAGGGAGATTTTTCACACCTGACCACCTCCTCCCCTTTTTTTTCTTTCACCTCTTCTTCCCTCCCAACTTTTACTCCATCTGCTCTGGGATTAGTCTTGTTATGTGTTGGGTTTTTTTAAGGGTTATTGCTATTGATTTTAATATTTCTATTTTTGTTTTTCTATTTTACGAGTTGTAACCCACCCAAAGTAGTGCCGTGACTGTTATGGGAATGGGATACAAATTGAATGAATGAATGAATGAATGAATACTACAAAGGGCTTTTTCAATTTAGGTTTCAGTATACTACAAAATTGAGGGGACATGGTGGCTCTGCGGGTTAAACTGCAAAGCCTCTGCGCTGCAGGGTCGTAAGATCAGCAGTTCAAATCCACGCGACAGAGTGAGCTCCCGTCGCTTATCCCAGCTCCTGCCAGCCTAGCAGTTTGAAAGCATGTAAAAATGCGAGTAGATTAATAGGTGCCACCACGGTGGGAAGGTAACGGCATTCCCTGTCTAGTTGCGCTGGCCACATGACCACAGAAGATTGTCTTTGGACAAACGCTGGCTCTACGGCTTGGAAACGAGGATGAGTTGGACACAACTGGACAATTTGTCAAGGGGAACCTTTACCTTTACCTATAGTACAAAATAAAGTTTTATAGCAGACAGAAAAGGTTTCAAAATGGGTAAAATTCTTAAATATTTTTTACAGCATTGTTTAATGGTTCTTGAGTATATGATCAAGTTAACAAAGTAGGAGGACAAAAATCCCACTTGTTGAGCACCAAGCTGCTAGTAAATAAGTGGGCTTTTGTTTTGTTTTCTGCACAGTTCAGTCTTCAGTAACATCAGTTGAAAAAGAAGACGCAAAGCCCATTAAGAAGATCAGTGGTTCTTCTCCAGGTCAGCCCTTGTGGATGGAACTTGCCAAAAAGAAAGCTCAAGCTTGGAGTGACATGCCCCAGAGGATAAAATAGAACAGGCAATTTGTGCTCATTGTTGTTACTTGGTAAGAAAGTTTATCAGGCTATATTAACTCAATTGATAAAGATGAGTTAATGCTAACAAAACTGACATTATATCAAAGAGGCCATGATACAAGAAAAGTACAACATTATGGCAATGAGGACGGTGCTGGAAAGCTGATGAGAGGGTTTGCTTATTTCTTGCAGGGAAAAATTCAAGAAATTGCTTATGTGACTTTTTCTTCATTTCTTTCCTTCTCTAATATGGTTTGCTATAAACAAACAAACAAGATAAGAATATTCACTCAACATTGACTATCCAGTATTCTCCTCCCACATCAGTTATTCACCAATCAAATTTGTGAGCTATATGTCGAAACCAGAATGTGATAAGAATCCCAAGAATGCAGGTTGGGGAATTTTGGGGAGATATAACTGAAGATGAAAAGAAAATATTTTTTCCAAGATCTGAAACATTGACCTTGAAATGAATCTTAATCCAAATTGGAAAATGGTTATAGTATTTACCATTACAAACAGACTGGAGATAAGGCAATACAGTTGTTGTTTTTATGTTTATGGGGCCTCTTCAATCACTACATTCCTATCGCCACCCCTAGACCCCTATACAGTGTAGAATCAGGAGCAGGTATGAGGTTCATGTGGTTCTTCCCTTCATGTATTTAGTCCCACATGAGCTATAATTCGAAACAGCTAATCTATAATATGTCCTTTTATCATTCTGGCCTCCTCTAGTATTCAGTTTGTGCTGACCTCCTTTTAAAACTGGGAAACCTTTAGAAACCCATGATATGGGTCAAAAGAACTGTACACTTATAAAGGATGTCCTTTTCGCAATGGCATGCATATAATATCACAGCAGAAGATTAGAAGTAGACATGGTTTGACACCTCTTGCTTTCCTGGGTACACAGCTTGGATTATCATAGCTCATGAATAAATCAATTTTGGCTGGGTTCTGAGTGAGGCAGTAAAGGTACAAAACACTCATCCCTTTTAGGGTCAAAGGAAGGAGTTAAAAGCAATACCTTTATTAGGCCAACCAAAATTATCACACAATAGTGTGCAAGACATCAAGGTCTCCAGGATTCCACATTGTATTAGCTGGTAAACAAAACACATAGGGTAGGTGAACAAGTTGGGAATGACTGTTTATTTTATAGTCTGAAAGTGAGGCTATGAAAGAAAGTAGTACCAGACATTCAGATGTAATGTTGTGGATGGCAAAGGTACTACTAATGAACTCTTCCTCTTTCTGGAGTCAAACATAAGACCAATTGTGGATTGATAGCACTTCTCATTCTTAATAGATCTGTAATACTGTATATACATTCTACTTTTTTGTTTTAAAAATAAAAATGTTCTCTAGATTTGATAATTTGTATCATTTCTGTTTCTGCTTTATATAATATCTGTTGTTTTGTCACATTCTCTGTAAAGCTGTACAGACTAGGCATGTTGACGGTAGTAAATCTTGCAGAGTTTAATGGGGCATATTCACTTGTAATTGTGCTTAGAACTACAGACTAAAGTTTCTAATGTGTCAACTAAATTATTTTCAGTGTTGTGTTCTGTACAATATAGAGAGAACTATATTAATAAACCTTTGCAGTCCTGAATATCTTGTTTGGACACTACTGAGTATGTTATGGGTTGATAAATGCTGGGCACATAATGTGAATGTAAAATGTCTATTGGCTATAAGGTAACCTTGGTTTTAAACATTTGCATGGACATGAAATTAGAGAATGGAGATAGAGATAGTAATGGTTGTTGGTTTATTAGCTCTGAGTACAAAGGGTTTCCATGTTCTTGGTGGAATTACAGTCTTCCTGCCACAACAAGAAATATTGAGTGATCCAGATTTACCCTCAAAGCCTAGGTGGTTACTCTGGCAAGGATTTCATTCCCCCCCTCCCAGATATGCCTTAGTTTGGAAGCAGAGCATCTGTTTAGCATACAGGAATTTCCGGGTTCATCCCGCACACACACCCTGTGTGTGCAAGCTGGGCTAGGTAAGGATCCCACCTGAAATTCTGGAGAGAGTCATGGCCAATCAGTGTCAATAGTACTCAGTAGATAAACGAGGAGTCTCACTCAGTATAAAGTTGCTGCCCATGTTTCTGTGCTGAATACATTCCTTCTTGGCGATCTGGTCCCAGTTATGGTGGGTTCAGTGGAAAGACAGGATATAAATGTTTTGATCAATAATTACCTATGCTATTGAAGACTGCTATGGGAACTGTACCAGCAACTCTCCTCTGGAAATTAGATGTAGATAATATATATCATAAATTATATCACACAGGGTAAAATTTTATATGCAAAACAGACTTTGGCCTTTTAAAACATGCTGTGGCCTTGGGATGGATTTCTTGATCTTTTCTCTCATGATGATTTTAATCATCTACAAAGGCCTTGTTCTGTGCATCTTTAAGGAAACAAAGCCTTCTCAGTCGTGGTACCTAAACTGTAAGACTTTTTTCCTGAATTAGATGTAGCTATCAAGTGCTCCCCTGTTACAGACATTTTGTGTATCATTGCTTCTTTCTTTTCAACATTTCTTGTTGCTAGTTCTGCTTGTAACTGTATTCTATGTACATCTTCTTCATCTCTAGTATGTTTTATTTTGGTGTGAACCAGTTTGTAAGCCTGTGCAGTAGAAAAATGGCATATACTGTAAATATATTCCACTAGATAAGTTAAAGATACCTGATTACAAGGGAGGACTGAAAGGAAATTATTTTTAAGTCTCTTTTTCAGAAGGAGGTCTATTATGAATTCTGAAATAGTTACTGTTATGTTATCCAGATAGCCAACATTTGGCACACTTGCAATCCAAGACTATCATTGGGTTGTTGTTTTTTTAAGTTTGAATAAAGAGAATTATCTTTCCATCTCAAGACAAGACAAGAAGCAAATTCTGGAAAATGGTTACAGTACTTCAACATTATAACATTGTACACTCACACACAGACCAAGGCACATTGATTTCTATGAAAGCCTAATATATTTTTGCGTCTGTGCTCAAAACATGAGACATTGGCCGGTAGTAAGTTGCAACTAAAGTAGGTCCATTTGAATCAGTGGAACTTATGGAGGAATTGACTCATCAAATTCCCACTGTGAAGATTCAACCATTAAATTTATCTTACAGCAGAGGCTACCACTCCAGTCGAGTGTAAGCAAGTTGCACAAGAAGTGGAAAAGTGGGTGAAGGTCTACATTTGCCTCATTGGCCCACTTAACTTGATTGGGCTTCAGTTAGAATGGGACAGGACTTAATAGCTGTCTGGCTTTCAGACTGGCTCAGGCCTTCCAGTTCTCCCAAGAGACACACACTCCTGCAATTGTAAGGTTATGTGTGAAATTAACATACTGTACTTTGATTTACATTCACCATTATGTTACCAGGAAAACTAGGAAAGGTGATGTTCTGTGAACTGTTGCACATGTAGCAGGAGCAGGTAGGGGAAGAATCACCAAAGAAAACAATGCACCAAAATATTTAATTAAAGAACATGTGTTGTTCACTTGGATGCTTGACAGCTTTAAAGCCCACAATGCTCTTGACAACGAGTCTGCATACTGCCAACCTAAGTCATCTGGATTTGGATCCAGATTTATTCATGGGCAATTTGGTTGGTGGAAATAGACTTCACTGCTCCTTCATCTTCACAGCAGCCCCTTCAGCCCCATTAATATACTGTTATAGAAAGCCATGAGATGCTGTTGAATGGGGTGATCTGTAGGCAGGAGAGAGGATCTCCAAAAAGTCAAGTGAAGGCAAGTTCCATGGTCAGATAGGGAATCCAGTGCATGATCTGGAAGGCGACTAAGTGGCTTGGGAGCTTGCAGAATGGTCTTTACAAAATGTGCAATATCCTTCCCAAATTTAATTATTCACTTTGGATCTGAGCTTGTGTTTGTCACTCAATTTCCTTTTGCAAAGCCTTGCACCAGCAGAACAACAACACTGACTGCAATTTCTGCATGTTTGCATGTAAATGGGCTCACTGTATGCAGTGACACTTGCTTCTGAGAAATCATTCACAGGAAATTTAAAATATTTTGCATGTGGCATTCTTTGTAAAGCATTCAAACGAAAATACCCAGTACACAAAGGCATAATTTGACATGTGCAATGGATTTATAGCACAGAATAGAACAAGCAGCCTGAGCAGGTCAATTCAACAATCATTCTGTTACATTCCCAAGGACATTCCCAAGTAGGTGTGTATAAAGCTGAAGTTGCAGCAATATAAACACCTAAAATCTGACAATTCTGATGCTTGCTTTTGGATTAATACATCTTAACATGTTTTAGACAATCAGGGTTCCATTCTGCCATTCTTGGTCATTTAAAAAAAACTCGTAGGCTCCCTGAAGTCCCTTACAGCATTTGCTATGGAACCTTTCAGCCTCTACCATTTTTATTGAAGTTTCCATTTCCCTGTGTACAGTGGCTGTATTCCCAGAACACCTATCAGTGAGTTGCTCTAAAACAGCTTAAGTGGAAGTCTTCCAGGAAAATGTCACAGTGTCACTCTCTTCAGGAATAAGGAGCCAAAGAAATGTTGCAAGAAGTTAAATGGAAACTTACTTCAGAGCAAATCAGATAGGAAAACTATCCATTATTTTATCTGTTAACACCTTTTGCTCTTATTAAAAGGAAATCTTCCATGTTAATTGACATTCCAACATCCTTGCATGTACACTCACTCTTGTGTTGAAGCGGACATTTTATCAGTTATGTATTTTATGCTGTATTTTATTTTATTATTTGCACTCTAATGATTCATCTCTCACTGGATCATTGAAGCCACCCCATACACCACAACCTCAGTGCTTAATAATTCAGAAACCTGCTGACCTACAATAATTTATCTTCAGTGTTATCACTGATGTTATTTAGTATTTCAGAGAGAAGCACTTAGCAAATTTTGGGAGTGATAGAAAATACAGCAGCAATAAATGTTTTAAGAGAGATTAAAGAAAAAAGAAAAGGGTGCCCTTGCCACCCAAAGTTCACCTAGGTACCCATTAAAATTATAGCAGTGTCCACAACCACAAAACTGCACTGAATTTAATTGATTTTAGAAGCAAAGTATTTTAAAAAGCTCCTGCCAGCCAATTGGGAAAAAAATCCAATTGGAGCCTATATATGCAGCCTATATAAATTGATTTAACCCTTGCATTGTGTGAACAATAACATCTATACCAATTTAAATGATGCTTAAGTGCAGTTCTTATTGTCAGTGTGACTGCAATCTAACTTTAGATCAGGAGTATCCAAACTTTTGAGGGTGAGGGCCATATTGTATATTTTCAACATTTTTAGGGCAGAAGGAATGTGTGTGTGTGCACGTATGCCCAGCCGCATGCACCACCACCCCACATGGATGCTCACCCCCCCCCGCCGGCATATACAAACCCTGCATGGATGCCCGCTCGCAAGCGCAACCTCTTGCCCCGCCCCCTGCTCCCGTGCATGCATGGGCTGAAGGGAACGGGCTGGATAAAACAGCAAGGTGGGCTGGATATGGCCCATGGGCCATAGTTTGGAGACCACAAAAGTGTCACCACAGCATCAGAGGCTTATTTATATTTTCATTTTCTCATTTTATTTACAGTATATCATCTTCTGTCAGCAATGTCCCTATAGCAAAACAGAACAATAGAACAATCCTCATCCAAAATAATTGACACAAATCTAATATCAGAGATGGCAACACAGAGAAACCGGATTCAGAATACTCTAACCTTTCAAAACAGTCACTTATGGATCTCAAAGAGGATATTGTACAAAAAAGGTATTATAAGGGTAAACTCAAGAAAGAAACAGCAGAAATTTAGCTACGTAAACAAAATCCAGTGCACCTCTAAGGGCCTTAATAAAGATCAAGATTTCTTAGTGCACTCCATATATTAGTAATCCAGCATTCTGTAGTACTGTATCTCATAAAATAGTTATCTCCCTTGACAGATTCTGACCTTTGTCCCATAAACAAATCTTACCATTCCTGTGACAACCAAGATTACTTAGTTTATCACTCCAGCTGGGATCTTTATAGTACCATTCCTGCTTTAATAACCTGTGGCCCCTTTGGCTATTATCTGTATCCTTATTGGGACGACTCTCACCAACATGTGATAAATATCTTTCGTTATTTCATGCCTTCCAATCAGAACCAACTTATAGAGACCCCAACAGGAGTTTCAAGGTAAGTGAGATATTTAAGGAGTAGTTTTACCTGTTCCACATGCTCAGTGAATTTCCATGGCTAAGTTAGGATTTTAACTGAGGCATCATAAGTCCCCATATGTTACTCTTTATCTACTGACTACACTACACTGAATATCTCTGATAAATATTGGGGAAGTGCACCTGTACTCCCATCTCTGAAGACATAGATTTTGACTTGCAAAAACATACTGACATAAAACTGTTAGCCTTTTTTAAAAGCCAAAACATTTTAGCACTTTAAACGTTTCTTTTGCTAACATGCTGAGACAAAGCTACTTCCTGGAAACTGAATTGTTATTGCTTATTTTGAAGCAGGCAGAAGGCAGATTCTCCTTTTCATCAGAGCAGTAATATATCGGGAGTT